GAAGAGAAGTTGAGAATGCTTTTGGACTCGTTAAAGCTCGATTCCGTGTCATTTGCAAACGTATGGAATGCGATATTACCTTTTCTACAAGAATTGTTAATGCTTGCGTCACTCTTCATAACATTTGTGAATATTATGAGGACATTATTGTAATAGAATAATTTACACATCATCATAATGACAGTCTGGCTCAACCGAATACAGTTTCTACTGCTGGGAACAATGGACCAGGAAAAATGTCGACTTAATTGCTAAATTCCTTTATGAAAGAGACAAATAAGGTAGTAATGTTTTTTATTATTTAAAGCTTTATCTGTAATATATTGATTAGTTTTAAAGTAAATTTATATTAGTTTTAAAGTAAATGTATATGTATTGATTAGTTTTAAAGTAAATTTACTTTACTTAAGATTATCAAATGTGTCTAAATAAATAATTATTAAATATATATGAATACAAAATGAAAATCGTTTTTAATGAATGTGGTAAGGTTAATAATGTATAATATGTTTATTTAGTACTATACCACTAACAAACTGTTTTTCTGCGTCATCAAAAGCGACAAAAGAACATATGACCTATCCATAAAAGCCTAGCTTTATAAGAAACAGGATAAAAAAACTCCAACGTCACCTTTTGTATGGACGGAATTTTGGGTTGGGTTTCTATTGTCTAAACCTGATCTAGGTGGACCCGCAGCGTTATTTGCATTTAGTTTTACCTCTCCTAGATTAATAAATATTAAAATTAATTTATATAAAAATGTGTATATGCAAAATTGTTTGTCACTAAATTTTATTCGAGATTTACATACTGTTTGTTTAAGCGATTTTTCTTTTATGTACCGTCCAGCCAAATTTACAGGTGAAAGCTACAAGGAACATTTTGTAGAATATTTTGTTCCAGGAACATTTGTTCCGGAACAATGTTCCACCAAATATTGCTAGTGTGAACATAGTATTAAAGCACCTTAACAAAAAAAAAAAAACAATAAAAATAGATAAGCCCATCTAAAATCCCAAAAAAAGAAAAGTCATTAGATACAGATAAGTAAGTTGACCATAAGATACTGGTTGACCATAACATGCTGTTGACCATAAACATGCTGGTGGTGGGGTGAGTAATTTTATTCACAACTCATTAGATTTTATTCACCGTAATGATCTTTGCGTGAATGAAACAGATTATGAGTCGTTATGCATTGAAATAATAAATAAAAAGGATAAAAAAATTTTCGTAAACTCTATTTATAGACAACCAGCTGGAAACTTAAAAAATTTTAAAGCTCACATTAAAAATTTTCTAACCCAAACCAGTAAAAATCGGAAACATGTATACTTAGTTGGAGATTAACATAAACATTGTTTAACATAACATTGTTTTTTAATTATATCTTATATTGTTTGCTGACAATTCCAATCTGTTTTATTCACACAGAGATATAAAAATTCTCTTTAAAATTTTTAATGAAGAATTATCTAAAGTAAATTAATGGTTTATAAGTAACCGCCTTTCACTAAATGTAGATAAAACTAAATTCATCCTGTTCCACAAACCAAATAGAGTTGATAAAATTCCACTTAAACTGCCAAATCTTTTATTCAGTAAAACAGATGTAAAAAGGGAATCTACTGCTAATTTTTTAGGCGTAATTCTTGATGAAAATTTGTCATGGAAGTTTCACATCCAATCTATTGAAAGTAAAATCTCTTATAATATTTCCGTACTTTATAAAACAAAACCATTTTTAAACGCAAAATCTCTCAAAATAATGAAAATTTATTCACAGCCATCTTTCTTACTCCAACATTGCATGGGGAAGTACGAATTACGGAAAAGTCAAAAAACTTTATAGTAACCAAAAGCATGCTTGTAGGATTGTATTGGGGCAAACAGAACTGTTTATTGCAAACCATTATTAAATCGTCTCAAGGCCTTAAACATTTATAAACTAAACATTTACCAAACATTACTTTTCATGTTTAAAATGAAACATGGAATATCTCATAAGTATCCAACAAAGTTTTCAGAGGATAACTTTAATGTTCCGAGAATAAATTTAAAAATAAGTTCTTATCAAATTAAATATCGAGGACCTTTTTTATGGAAAAATTTTATTAAAAACTTTAATAAAGAACACTACTCTTTAGAAAAATTTAAAGCAGTTTCTAAAAGAATCTTACTTCAATTAGATTTTAATTCAAAAAACTTTAAGTATTTTTTTAAAAGGAAATTTTAAAATAGAAACAAACGCTCCCATTATCATTAAATATATTTTGTTATATGTGTCAAATATATTTGTATTAGTATACAAAACTTTCTTTACTTTTAAATTTTAATATAAATGTCACTTTATTATTTGACAAAAGTTATGTACTCTTTAACGTTTTTTTGTATATTTTATTTATATTTGTTTATAAACACGGACAATTTGTAAACGGGGCTCGGTGATAAGACAGTCATTGTCTTCTTCTTGCTCCGGCCAATTTTTATAAATGTAATATGTCTATATTGTAAATATATGAAACGGCAAAAAAAAAAAAAATTTAATATGTTTGACAAATAAAAATTTGTCAAACATAATAAAACATTTTATATCCAATAAACCAGGATTACTTATCGTCAAACTATCAGATGTTTCCGAAAGAAACCCATTACTAACAGCGGCAAAAAAACTTAAAAATTCAGATAATTACAAAAATGTATACCAAGTAGCGTAGTCGTCAAACTTAAAAATCCTCCGTTATTTTTTGAAAAAATTAAAATATAAAAAAATGAATAGAACATTGCTTGATAATAAAATGGCAAATTTAATTGCAAAATTCAACACGTTTGATTGTCATGCTATTGCTGTCTTTGAAGGATTGTTTCGAAAAGACTCGGCATTAAATATTAATAAGTATAACATAAAGATAAATGTTGAGGTGGCGGTGTAGCTATCTACATTACTGAGGCATTTAACTCACATGAAATTAATCAATTCTATGCAAATTTGTAAAGGTTTACAATAAGCATATACTTATCGGGTGTATTTTTAGACCAAACGATGCTAATTTTATAAAAGAAGTCACTGAATCGAATTTGCTCATAGATTAATAAGGAAACCCTACGATGACTGTTTGATTGATTATAATTTATACCTCTCATATATAAAGTGCTTTAATGATAAAGTGCTTTAATGATTTATAATTTATACCTCTCAAATATAAAGTGCTTTAATAATTTACCTCTCAAATATAAAGTGCTTTATTATTATTAACTTTTATCTTACTGATTATAATCTCTGGAATATTTACCAAAACAGCATGTTTACACAACATAACACACTTCCTACTCTTTAGACTAACTATGGCTCCTCAAATAATGTTGGAATTGTTATTTGCCGACAACAGTAACTTAAACCTGTCTCCTAATGCTATACTTGGTAATAACACTAAAAGTCATTTTAGTATTACTTGGAGATGCTTAGTTTCAGAACTGTTTTCCGAAAGTGAATCTCGATCATTTATTAACAATAAAGATAATTAGGAGTCATTATCGAACGATTGCGTTAATTGACTGGAATTTTTTATTTCTACATAAATCTGTGGATCAAATATTTAATTTACTAATTTCTAAATATTGCATTGTTTGCAAAGATTGTTTTTCTTTTTTTCAGATTATTTATTTTTTTAAAAGTTGAAGATTATTTATGTAATTATAATAGTTAAAATAATAATAAGTAGATTGTTTAAAGTTGTACTTTGGTGTTATAAGTATGCTTTTGTATACTTTGATTCATTTAATACGAATCTTAGCCCAAACAAAAAGTTATGTTAAGAATAAATTGATGTTAATAGTATCAACAAAATATTTTAACTTTATTTTGACTAAAAAAATTAAAAAATAAAAAGAGTTTTTACCTGGTTTGGTTTATCCGGATATTGCCGACTATGTTTGATAATTACATCTTTAGGCTGTTCGCAGTGCTTACGTTTTACTTTAATAGTAATACTTTCTATAGATTTCCGTGCCTTAGCAGATCCAAAGTTGAGAAAAAAACTTACATTTCCATTGTCTATTCGTTGCTTTGATTGATTTTTTAAACGAACCTGAAATCAGTAGTTTATAATATTTTTATATTTTCATTAAATAAGATCTATAGTATGCATCTATATTTAAAGCTCATTATATTTATAAAAATTTATACTTTATGTAAATGCTCTTAACCTAACTAAGTATTATATCAGTTAAGGATCCTCACAAATACCCTGCAACAGATAACATCTAATTTAATGCAGTATGTGGCTTGATAGCTCAGTTGGTTAGAGCGTTAAACAAAAAGTTAAAACATGAGCTGTTGTACGATAGGGGTTTAAATTCTGCCACCGCCATCTCAGCGCTTAAGTAGTACTTTGGTACGCAAAAATATTAGTCAATAAAGGACGCTACTTTGTATTGGTCTTAATGGCTATTTGTGGCTATTCCTATGCTAAGCCAACAATATCTTTGGATATAATAATGTAGCTTGAAAATTCAAATAAATAAATAAAATATACTATATAGACATATGCAGTTCCTATAAGACATTTATTGTCTTATAGGAACTGCTTTTAAAGCAAAGACTAGTAGAAGTTAAGTCTACATTAAAATAACTATAGGGCTCTTGTAGTAAATGATAGATATATTGCTTCAAAAAAATTCATTTAGTAGTACAAGTAAATTTTAGCAGCATTTGCTTACAGTTTTGAAGAAGACCTCTTATACAAAAACTTTAGAAGTGCATAGAAGACTTAAGGAAGAGAGCCTCACCCGGTTTTTGTCTTCTAATAGGCAAGTAAAAGATATACACCTATAGCATGGTTTACTCTTAGTTTTTCTTTACATACTTTTTTATAATGGCTAAGCAACTCTTTTTAGTATCTCCTAATAAGGGTACAGCTCTGTTTAAAATTTCTGAAGTTGACTGGTAGTAAAGTTTCCTGAACTCCTTGGTGACTCTCAGAAAAATTATCCTATAAGCCGTTAATAAACATTAGGGTATTAACAATACCATGTTTTGTATGGATGGTTTTGCTATCAGTCTTACATTCCATCTCTTATATATGGATCTGACCTTATTACATCTTCAAAGATTAAGGCAAAACTACTTCCAAGAAAGAAATTGCATTTTTTCTGTCATCCAAGAGATGTCGTTTTATCCGCTATTAGACACCCCAAAGTTATTTTTCCACTAAACTCATTCAAAGTTTGCAATTCTGACAAAATTTTTGTTAAAGTTTTACATAAGGACTTTGCTGAATTCTCTTCAATACTCTTTAAATAATATAACAAATGCTTAATTAAACTTTTCTTTACTGCCTGCTAGAAAATGGCATCTGTGATTAAATTTTGTTTAAATCTTATGCTCTAACCCCTCTAATTAATAACTAATCAGTCTTTTTACTGTTTTTCATTAGCAAGGTCCTCAAATTAACAAACTAATATCTTTTTTTGATTTTAGCAATTTACTCTATGATGATGATTTCGGATTCTGACCGTCTCATTTTTTTGCTGACTTGATTATTGTTATTACAAAAAAGTTTTTCTAACACACTTAAATAAAAAAAATCTTATAGATCACAGTTTATTGCATGCTTTAAATAGTTTGATTGAACATAAAATTTTGGATAATATGAAAATAATTTTTTTTTCAATTGGTTAATACATATAAATGGTTCACGTATTCAAGACATTTTGGTATATCCAGGACCAGTGCATTTAATTGAGATGAAAGAAGGAATTCTTTTGGAGTTTGAAGATTACCTGAGTATCCAAAAGTTTTAAGATTGAATATGTTTATATAATTGTATAGTGGTCTGATAAAGATATTAATGAGTAGTCAGAATTTTTTTTTTTTTTTGAATATTTATAAATTTTTAAAGTTTTTTTTTTCAATTATCCTTAGACTATAAAAATTTATATTTTTTTACCAGGATCTCACATCTTTACTGTTAGATTAATAATTTTTAGAGCATACATGTTCTCATACAATGATGGACATTGACAGCGTGCCCATAAACAAGTTTAAAATATACCACCACAAAAACAATTACAAAATTATAAAAAAACAACTAGTTGGTTCTTTTAAAATAAACATTTATTGAAGTCAAAAGAGACTTTATTTCTAAAGGTTGAAACATTATTTGTAAGCACAGCTTCTGGTTTCATATTATTCCATGTCAGCAAATCGGTAAGAAAAACTATTTTTTCATGAATCTAAGTGACAATATTGTTTGCATATTTTATAATTAGGACCCCGGGTGCAACTACTATTGTGAATTACAGCTAATATAGATTGTTCTTTTCAAACCAGTTTGTGAAAAATTTTAAAACATATTACAAGGTCACTTTTAAGATGCCAAACATCAAGTGATTCCAAAAATATAGTTAGAGAAACTATGAATAAATAGAAAATAAGTGCTATCATTTGTAAAGACACTATCAAAATGTTTGTCAAGAACGTCAGCGACTTCTTCGTTACTAAATTTCAACTTGTTACTACTGTTTTTGGCTTTTGGTATAAATAAAGCTTATCATTAATTTTTTAGGATAAGAAAATAATGAGAAAAGTAAAAGTTTTTCAATTATAATGCCTTAAAATACTTTAAAACAGAAGAGGCAGTAAGGCAGTAATTCAAACTGGTAATTGCAATTTATGAACTGGTAAGTTATTAATAGTTAATTAAACATGTTACTGCTTGAAAAACCAACAAATTTGTGTCTGAAAAACTCAAAATAGTGTAAGCTGTCATTATGACAAAAAGAAACAACGCTCTTGCTACTAAAAAGTATGAAATGCAAAGATATTAGCAAACATTAACAGAGCAAATTTAATATAAACCATGCACTAGATGATTAGATAGATAGATGATAGATTAGATAAGATAGATGATTAACAATTCATATATGGATGGACTATAAAATAACTAAAATATAAATTTTTTCAAGTCAAGTTAATTCAAATTATGTTAAAGTAACAAATTCAATTTTTTATTTCATTTTTATTTGTCTATGATTCTTTGTGATTAGACATAAAAGTACGTGAAAATAATAAAAGACGAATATAAAAAACATTTATTAGTGATAAATGCACCTGGATTGGAAATATAAATAAACTTCGCATTTTTACTATTTAGCACATAAAATATTTAATACACAAAATATTTAAACATACAAAATATATAATTATATAAATAAATAATATATTTTCAATTATTATATTTATATAAGTATATTTATAAACTTTTTTTTCGGATTTTGTAAAAACTTTCCAAAATTATCGAATAGCTGCAATATTTTCAGAAATAAAAATTTAGTTTTGAAAATTACTTTTAATTTCGAAAAAAAATAGTTTTAAAATACTAAATTTATTTCGAAACTTAGGAGAAGTTAAAAAGTTGAATAAATTTTGAAAAAAAAAATGAGTTTAAAAAAGTTAAATTAATTTCGAAAAAATTAAACTATTTTGATTAGCTAAATTATTTTGAATAAACTAAAAAAGGTTTTACAAACCTTATAACATTTTGAAAAAAATAAGAACTTCGATAAATTAAATTAGTTTCGAAAAAAAAGATTCTCTATAAAATGAATTTTTTTTAAAAAAATAATGCGTTTCGAATTTAGAATAACTATTTGAGCATTCAGTAAACGCGGACTTTTTTAAAACAATTTAAGTAGCATAGACGCCTACAAAGTCAAAAGTACATTCAATGTGCGGCAGTGAAGGAGTACATGCAGGGATTTGTTTCAAATCTTACTAACTTTTAGAATTCGCCTTTTTTCTTACCCTCAAAATTTAGTTTAATCCTAAAAATAGTTTTAAACCTGCAACAGCTAATACACTTGGTTTAACAAAATTTTGGGCTTAGAGTAAACTTGGGATATATTTTTTACATCCTTTAAGAAAAAAAGTCATTTGTAATTGTAAATTATTAAATATATTTACAAAATTAAATTCTTAAATTAAAATTAAATTCTTGAAAATAGTAATAGCAATATTAATTATATTGCTTCTATAACTTAATTATATAAAGTTAATTATAAAGTTCCTAGGTAAATGTAACTGATTTTTACTACTAAATAAAAGTGATAAACATAACTAATTAAAATAAAAAACTTATTATTGCAATCAGTGACGGGTTGATTTTTTTTTTGTGTTTGACATTTGTATGTTTATACTTATGTCAAATAATGATGCTATCAAAAAAACTGCGATGATTAGAGGCTAGGAAAGGAAAACGCTTTTTGACGTCAACCCGACTCCCCACCCCGAAAAAAAAAATTATAAAAATGTTGTTATATATTTTTTTGCAATTTAAAACTTGCAAAACGAATATATACCGTTGTTCTAAAGAGCTGTTCATATGAATGAAAAATATTCTGCCTGAGACAAAAAAACAACAATAAATAAGCATGGTATTGTTAATTTCCTAGACTTTTTTGACTTAGATACAATAATTATAAGAGCGATTTTTATATCAAGAAAAGTTGATAGAAAGCAAAGGATATAAAAGATTTCTCATCTTGCATTGGTGGATGCATGTTAATAGTGAAATTATAAAATAAATATGTAATTATTTTCTTATTGTTGTACAAAGAGCAGATAATATTTTTTTTTCTTGCTTTTTTCTGAAACGTGTGCAAAGTGTGACAAAAAAACTTGGACATTTTTGCGGAACCGGATTAAATATATCTCTGTCGTCTCTATTTGATCTTAGACACAGACACACACACACACACACACACACACACACACACACACACACACACACACACACACACACACACACACACACACACACACACATATATATATATATATATATATATATATATATATAATATATATATATATATATATATATATATATATATATATATATATATATATATATATATATATATATATATATATATATATATATATATATAATAATTATTAAACTACAATTATTAGGTTAAAACTTATATAATTTACAAATATTTTATCCATTCTCCTTTAAAATATCTATAGGCTATAATTCTTGAAATTGGGGGCTTTTCCCATGCTATGTTTGAGCCTCTCTCTATCTCTGGGCCCCTAAAATGGGTACCTAAAAAAAAAAAAAGGACCTCAATATGTAATATGGGCCCCCCTATTATTAAAATTGTGGTTAAGGCTCTGATATGTATATATATATATATATATATATATATATATATATATATATATATATATATATACATATATAAATATATATATATATATATATATATATATAAATATATATATATATATATATATATATATATATTTATATATATATATATATATATATATATATATATATATATATATATATATATATATATTTATACATATATATATATAATATAATTTTGAGTTTGTAAAATTTATTTTCAGTTTTAAAAAACCCTTATCTGTACACAGACGATGGAGGCGAAGTGATTATTATATGTGGCGAAAGATTATTTTAAGAAGTTTTTCATTTTCTGACTTCGTAATGGAACTTATTGGAATACACTTGTCATGGACATGGAAGGAGTATTGCCATTACAAGCATGAACATTAAACAATATTAAAACATTCAAAGAACAATTTGTTATTTCAACGATTAGATTTGTTGTTTAAATGTATAAATGCTTTTTGAATACTCTTATTATATATCATCCTAATTTAAAATAATGTTTTATTTTTTCCATAGAACTATAAAACATTAATATATATTAATGTTTTATAGTTCAGTGTAAATATTATTGAAACAAAAAAACTGAATATTATTTTAAATAAAAATGACATTGAAACAAGTAAAAAATGATTCTTTTTATAGAATATAATTTCTTGAAACATGAAAAAAATACATAAATTTAAGAATATAAGTTCTTGAAATAAGAAAAAAAAAAATCTTATTTTAATAATATAAATTCTTTAAAAAAGAAAAAAAGTTCTTGTTTTAAGAATAAAAATTTTTAAAACAAGAAAAAAAGTTTTTATATTAAGAATAAAAATTCTTGAAAAAAAAAAAAGTTCTTGTTTTAAGAATAAAAATTCTTGAAATAAGAAAAAATTTCTTGTTTTAAAAAAAAATTCTTGAAACAAGAAAAAAAAAATTATTTAAGAATAAAAATTCTTGAAACAAGAAAAAATATTCTTATGTAGCGGACAAGTCATTTTTTTCTTGTTTTAAGACTTTTTTTCTAAAAACGAAAATTTTGGACTTTACTGTGCACTGTTGCATTTCAGCAATTAAAAAGAACAAAATTTACTACGTTCTTGCAAGTATGTTAAACAAAACTTGATTTTACGCTTTTAAAAGTATTTATATGAAACTAATACATAAATACGATTTGCACTTTAAACTGTCAGCTAATTATAATAATGTAAAAATAAGTATAGCTATATAAAAATATAATTTACCTGTTTTTTGTAAAACACGTCAGGAAATTCTTTATTTAATATACAAAACGCATAACTGCAATCAGAGTGTTCTATTGCTGAAACTACACTTTCTGTACTGCAATCTGAAGCATATGAATCCGTTAACTCCTTACTTGGTTTATCTATGCGCTCTGCGATATTCTGCGAAAAAA